ATGGCATGAGCACTTCCCTCTTTCTACTGCCAATACCTCTCCCTATACAACCAAGCATTCTGCTAGCATTTCCTGCTGCTCTATTACATTGTCTGCCTACCTTTAAGTCATCAGAAATAATCACCCCTAAATCCCTTTCCTCATGTTGAGGTTAGGACTCTATCAAATATTCTGTACTCTGCCCTTGGGTTTTTACGTCCAAGATGCATTATCTTGCACTTATCCACATTAAATGTCAGTTGCCACAATTCTGACCATTTTTCTAGTTTACCTAAATCATTTGTCATTTGGCTTATCCCTCCTGAACATTAATCCTGTTACATATCTTAGTATCATCAGCAAAAAGACATACCTTACCATCAAGACCTTCTGCAATATCACTAGTAAAAATATTAAAGAGAATGGGTCCAAGTACAGATCCCTGAGGTACCCCACTGGTGACAAGTCCAAGCTTCGAATATATTCCATTAACTACAACCCTCTGTTGCCTGTCACTCAGCCACTGCCTTACCCATTCAACAATATTGGAATCCAAACTTAAAGATTGCAGTTTATTGATAAGCCTTCTATGTGCAACAGTGTCAAAAGCCTTACTGAAATCTAGGTAAGCAATGTCTACTGCACCACCCTGATCTATAATTTTAGTTACCCAATCAAAAAAAACAAGAAGGGAGGTCGGCGGCTCCAGCGGTGTTCGCGCAAAACTGTGTCCGATTTTAGTTCCATGAAAATAGAGGCGAACACCGCTGTGCATTCGTATGTTTTAAAATGGCCGCGACCTCGTGTTCGGGATACGAATGGCGGCCACCCAGCATTCATCAATTAAGCTGCGGTTAACCGCAGCTTCAGGGAGGTTAATTGCCGGCACACTCCAGCTCCAGGTGGTCTATTCATTCGTGCGGTTGTTCGGTAGATTGAAACTACCGAACAACCGGCAGAAAAGCACGAATATAGCTTTTCTGCAGGCAAAATAAAGTCTTTTAATAGGGGGCCATAGTCCAAAGGCAGCAGGCGAGCAACCAGGCTTCTCCAATGCAATGTGGCGAGATTGGTCTCGTCACACCTACCCTTTGGCAGGTATCACAGGTCTGGCAATATCGCCTAACATCCTGAGAAATACCTGGCCAAAAGAAATTTTGGGTCAGCCTGTGCTTGGTATGACTGATGCCGAGGTGTCCAGACAGGGGGATATCATGGGCTATGCGTAACAGCTCTAACCTATATTTTCGAGGCACTATTAGCTGTTTAATGGGTAAAGGTATTGACCCGGACACTACCTTCTCTGTGTGCCGGTATAGTAGTCCTTTGTCCCAGATATAGCTTCCCCCTCTAACCCTGCTTGATCTTTATCAATGCGGTCTTTATATACCTGTAACGAGGGATCTAGGGCCACTTCTGACCCAAACTCTATAGAATTGGCCCATGGCATGACAGGGGGTAGGGGAGGGTCATTGCTTACCTGAGCCTCAGAGTGATCGGATGGCGCTGTGGTGGGGGCCTGTTGTCGGGTCACAACCGGGTATGCTTCTTGTATGGTGGGCTGTGGAACAAAAGCTGAAGTCAGCTCCCCCAAGTCGTTGCCCAAAATCACATCCGCTGGCAAGTCCTGCATCATCCCCACATATACATTCCCGCTCCCCGCTCCCCAATTCAAGTGCACCTTGGCCGTTGGTACTTTGTAAATGGCTCCCCCGGCCACCCGCACAGCCACACAGTCCCCCGTGAGCTTGGGTACCAGATGACTTCGTACTAGGGTTAGGGTGGCCCCAGAGTCACGAAGTCCTTGTACTTTTCTCCCCTCCATGTGTACTTCCTGGCGGTGCCCTTGGCGGTTATCGGAGGCGGCCTGGATGGGGTTCACCTCGTGTAGGGTGCCGAGTGGTTCCTCCAGGGTTGTCCCCAGCTCCAGATTCTGGTAGGATTCGGCCTGTATACAGTGGACTGCGGCACGGTTGCTTGGGGCTGCGTTATTCCAGCTGGGTCGAGGCCGATTCCGTGGGCAGTCTCTCTGAATGTGCCCCTGTTGGTTGCAGGTATGGCACCGGATTGGTGGACGTGCTGAATACCTGGGGGGGTAGGAATTTTGGCTTACCCCTGGTCGCTGGTGAGTTGTGGGGCCCCCTGGAGTGCTGGTTGTTGCAGGGGGGATGTCGGCTCTGGTTGGTACGGGTTGATCTCTCCGATTGTCCTGGAACTCGTCTGCCATATTAACCGCTTCCTGCAGGGTGTGTGGCTTTCTGTCCCGAATCCAGTTTTGCAGATAGGCAGGGACGCCATTGAAGAATTGCTCCAGTACCATTAGCTGGAACAGACCCTCCAATGTATCAACTTGGGCGGCCTCCAGCCACCCCTTTGCAGCTCGTTGCAGCTGGTGCGCCCATTCCACATGGGTGTCTTTAGTGGGTTTCTTAATGTCCCGAAACTTCCTTCGGTACGCCTCTGATGTGATGGCATACCGGGCTAGAATGGCCCGTTTCACTTTATTGTAGTTCCTACTATCCTCGTCTGGTACTGCCCGGTACGCTTCAGCGGCTCGCCCAGATAATCTCCCTGCTAGTAGTGGTACTCGGTCTGCATCGTTAATCTCATGCAGCAAACACAGTCTCTCAAAGTCCTGTAAATAGTCGTCAACGCCACCGTCCGCCTCCACATAGCTTTTAAAGGCTTGATATGGGATTTTGGCTTTCCCTGGGAAAATATTGACTGGCGTTGCGGCTCTTTCTCCGGCTTGCTGGTTCCCATGCGTTCTTCTGGCCATGATGTACTCCTGTACATCACCGAAAAGCCTGTCAACCATCTCTGCAGATGGGGGTGTAGGAAATAAAGCCATTCGTGCTCGGAATTCGGCTGTAAATTCGTGGGTTTCCCCCTCCATTTGAGGTGCTGCAGCAGCTGCGGCTCTGTCTCCTTCAATGAGCTCTGTAATTAGGACAGCCTTTGCCTTGTTACTGGCGATTGCTCCTCTTGCTTCCAGCAGCTCCTTTAATGTGCTCCGTTTTAGCAGGGCGTAATTTGTTCCCATTCACCGGCTGTTCGTGAGGATTATTCGAATGAGCTAATTCCCGAATGGCTGCTCCTTGATTTGCTTTAAAATCTGCCGAACGTTGCTTTGCTGTGTTAATTCGAATCCCACCGCTGTCACCAATTGTAGCGGAGAGGCAGTATAATCCACAATATCTCCGCTGGGTAACAGGAACAACAAAGGATAATCCAGGGAATCAGCATACAATAATCCAAACAGCACTGCAGTAACCCTTCCTTCCCAAGAACTAGACGACACATAGGCTGGGAGTCAACTGAAGTCCCCTCCCAGGGGCATTCCCAGAGGGGACTACATGGGGGACTTACAGTACAGGGCATTTATCCCATCAGGCACTGCTGCACGAGAGGGATCCTCCCACTGGAATATACCGTTAAGTGGATTATCCCTGCTTGCAGCAAAACTCACAATTCACCTTAAATTCAATAACTCTATGAATATCTGGTTCACTTAAACAAATGGACGTTCGGTAGATAGCTGGGGTCTGAGCGCATCATTCGTGAGATTACCGCTCAGATCCCAGCTAAAACAACCGAACACCGCACGAAAAACACATTCACTAACACATAGCCTTAAAATACTGTTTACATATAGTGAAACAAAATACCGAATGTCCCGGACCTCCCGAACGGTCTGGAGGCCCAGCGGTGTTCGCGCCGTCGAGTAGCCGTTTTTAGTTCCACGCGCTCGATGACCAAACACCGCTGAGGGAACAAAGGATCCAAGATGGCCGCCCGCCGCATGGTCGGTAGTCGAACGACGGCCACCCAGGAGAGCCTCTAATTACCGATTGCAACATTGTTGCAATCGGTTAATAGGCGCCACACGCCTCTAAGTGTGTGGGCTATTAAATGATATGTTGTTAGGTTCCCGAACGGCCCGCAAAGGTGCCGTTCGTGAAACGAAAGGAATCCGCTATCTGCGTTCGGCAGATAGCCCAGGCAGGCAATACATTATTAACATTGCATTACATTACACGCTATAACACACAATAGGAACCCCATACCGGCAACCCTTAAAGGGACAGTACAAAATAATGTCCAAGTGGCTAGGTTTGCCACACAAGTTATCCAATCACAAGTTATCTGCAGGGTTTTTGCAGCAATCTCTTGCTATAGGATCCTCATTAATATATACTGAAGAAAAATTGTTCTTTCAAATGTCTGCCTTTTCCTGGTGTTGCTTAATTAACAAACCCATCTCTGTTTCGAGTGTACCTACACTTTCATTTTTTTTTGTTGTTGTACTTGAAAAACCTTTTTGGGGTTGGTTTTGCATTCTTTGGCTATCAATTTCTCATTTTCTAGTTTAGCCACTTTAATTGCCTTTTTGCAAGCGTTATTGGCTTCCTTATATCTTATATAAGACGCATCTGATTTGTCCGATTTAAATGCTTTAAATGCCCTTTTCTTATTTTTAATCTCTTGTTTTACTTCTCTACTAAGCCACATTGGTTTTAATTTGTTTCTTTTATATTTATTACCCAATGGTACATACTGAGAAATGTACCTTTCTAATTTTTGTTTGAATAGTTTCCATTTATCCTCAGTGTTTTTATCACTAAGGAGTTTGCCAGTCGATATGTTGTAGAGCTGCCCTAATCTTATTGAAATTGGCTTTTAAAAAAATTATACGTTTTTAGTATACCTCACGTGCATTTCCTTTTTTGAGTTTTTTTTTTTTTTTAAATTACCATATTGTGATCACTATTTCCCAAATGCTCCCCTACTTGAATGTTGGTCAAAAGATCAACATCGGAAGAGGAGAGGATGGGGTAGCACTATATAACAGAGGAATGAAGGTACACCTAAAAGGGACATTCTCTCCAAAAACCCTTAAGACAATTGTTACCTTCCTAAAAGATCAACATTGTTTCTTATAACCAGATTCAGACAAGCACACTCCCTGTGAGCTGCAGCCAGGCCCAGTTACAGACTCCCGGTATGCCTGTCAGAGATACACTCCCTGCTTGGCACCAACACCCCCATAAAACAATATTCATGTTCAACGAGCAGAACTGCATGTGGCAGACGTTGGGCGATATACATTCCTGATACAAACTGCGTGCTTAATACATACACAAACTGTCCAGTAGAGACATTCACTGCCTAATACACACACACAGACACAGCAAACGTCTTCCCTCACATACTCCGGTGGGGGCTAGGGGCAATGGAAGCAGCACAGTCATTGTGGTACTGGTTCTGTGTCATGCTTCCAGTCTTTATGTGGTCCCTGCCACCAGAAACAGGAGAGGGGAAGCAGCACCTAGAACCTTCTTGTCAAGGCCCTGGAGAGATAGCGCAGCTAAGCGGACAAGAGCACATGTAGGAGTGTGGGGATAGATGCATGGGATTGGTTGGGAAAGAGTGTATGGGTGGGATTATGTTCTGTGTGAGTTAGTGTGGGGGAGGTCTTAGCTCAGTGCCACTTGGGATTCGGACCAGCAAACCTGTCCTCCTGCTCCTGTTTTGTCCTGGGCCTGTAGGTTTACCAGCTTGAGGGCTGGACTAGTACCGGCCGGTGTTTTCGCCTGCCAGCTAGGCTCTCACCTTACACTACTCCTCGGGCCCGCTTGAGAAGTAGGAGCCCGGGCCCGAGGCATCGCCAGGGCAGACCTCTCCTTCTCCAGAGAGCGTAGCAGGAACAAGCTTTTAGAAGAGCTTAGTGATTATACTCAGGGGAGTATTGTGATTATAGCAATCCCCAGAGTGTAGTTGTCCCATCCCCCAGCAGGTCTGTTTAATGGAAGCCAGCACTTACAATTTATACACACATTTAAACCTCCAACAGCCTCATTTACATACAATAGGTGACATAGAGCACTATAGTACTAGGAAGGGTGTGGTCAGACAATAGTAAGAGCGGATGGGAGATTGAGGAGGGACAGAGCAGCCAGTTTAAACTGGTCTGGCAGTGTCCCTGGGACAACTCCCTGCTGGGGAACAATAGGACAGGAAAAAGGGGGAGGGGGAGTGGCACCTGTTAAGACACCCCTGGTGTCTTTATACGAAACCGCCGTTTAGTCGACCTTCCCCCTTCTGCAATACAAATAATCTCCGTTCGCATAAACTGTAGTGCACGAACCAAACTCAGGGGAAGCGGCAATCTCCCGACCGGGATCCGTGAATGGCTCCAAACTCCCGAACAGCAATCCACGAACTGCTGCTAGACGCCGAACAATAACATCCACCAAGCGGCTTTCGGTTCCATCCAGCAGTCTCTAAGCGTAAAGAAGAAATCCCCCCAATAACGAGACAGAAGCTCCGCATTGAGGGTCAAACAGGATCTGGCTTTACTGTGGGCTACCTGCCCATATTTATGCAGGTCTCCCACTTGGTGGACACTCCCCTAGGGGACCAAATGGGAGTCTTAAATGACAGACAGATATGGGGACATTCCAGACACACAGTCACAGCTTTTACCCACAATGCAATATGGTTTCCTCCCCTCTGCCCTGGAGATAATTAATAAGTAACTCAATTATCTCCAGGACAAAGCCAGTCGCCATTTTAAATATAAAATCAGAAAAGACATAAAAATACATAACTTCACAAAAACTGAACATTTCCCATTCGCATCACATATCCCCAGATAGCCTGGATCTGAGTGCATATTATTAGCGAATAGCGCTCAGATCCCACACACATAGTTCAATCGCCATGGAGTCAAAGTTCTTACAGTCTTTCGGTATACGAATGAAGGAAGGCTATCTGGGTTAAGTCCTTTCGTATGCTTCAAAACTCCCGAACGGCCGGTATTCGTATGCTTTCGTGGAGGCAGCCAGGCGTTCCGTTGTTTCAGCGGTGTTCGGCAGAAAAAGTATCCGTTTTTAGTTCCATGAAAATAGAGCCGAACACCACTGGGCTTTTGCATGTTTTAAAATGGCCGCTGGTCCATATACGAACGACGACCACCCTGAATTCGGTTTAATTGAGAAGTGTCTGCGGTTAACCACAACGTTCTAATTGGGATCAATAGGTTAACCAGCAGCACACTTCTCTTCTGGGTGGTCATCCGTTCGGTAGTTTTGTTCGGGAAAAACGGTCATTCGTATGGCTGGGCTATAGGAACCAGCCATTTACACGAACGGGGCGAAACAGACGAATCCACCTACAATAAACAGACAGATGGTTTTGTCACAGCACCTTTTCACATGAAAGTCACTTTTTAAGATGTCTTTTTCCAGGGCCCATAATGCTGGGGCAAGAGGCTGGCAAGCAGGCCCCTCCAAGTACCCACGGCAAGGTTACTTTCGCCACAGAAGGGGTTGGGGGTGAGGCACTTGGGGGGTGGGGTGCAGGGCAATTTTCGCACCGCGGCCACATGATTTCTAGTTACGCCTCTGCTCTGTACCCTTTATCACTGTTTAATTTCTGAACAATGCAAAGTGTCACAGAGATCCATTTTGGTTGGAAAGTGCTTCATACTAAGGAAATAAAGAAGTGGTATCTATTTATGGCCTCACTATGCGTTTACATCTTACTGAGATTTTACGTGGGTTTATATAAATCAATTTGATCTGATAGGAGATGGTTCCTGGAATTAACCCACCTTTACTTGTTAGAGGTAAACTGAGCCTATGGAGAATTGTACCCTGTCTTCAACAGTAGTAAGATTTTCTCACCAAATGCAGGATTAATGACAAATACTTAGTAAACAGAACACTACCTCCTGTTTATATTAAGTTACCTTGTGAGAAACCTCACCTGCTATTGCTTTACATAGATATACCGGACACGTGTTCATTCTCTCAGAGACACTCTCTTAGAACCTAATGCAGACCTGATCGCTAGCCTTGCCCTGTCTATAATATCTCAAGGTCGATAAACATTCTAATCGGGCAGTCAAGGTAGAGTCGTCCATATAAACCCAGACATAGGTCTGTTATTTGTCAGAATACAAGCTGTTTGCTTGGCAGCCATGATGACCCTCAACTCTCTCCTCCTCCTGCCTCTCCTGTTTTGGGGCGTAATGGCTCAGTGCCCCTCAGCAGCTGACCTGGTGAATGACAGCGGGGAGAAACTCTGTGCCCGCATGTTTGAAAACAGCAACATGTACTTTGATCAGTCGTGTGGTGGTAAATTTCTCGACGTCAAGAATGGTGATGACTTCCCTTACATGCCACTGGGATGGGGAAACAAGATTTCATCGCTGGTTGTAGGAAATCGCTGTACCCTGAAAGTGTGGAGCAAAGCAGGCAAAACTGGCAATAACCGTTCCTTCTCTGCTGGGATTGTCTACCAACTGAAGGACTATGCTAATGGCCTGTTTGGGGACTGGAACGACTCAATCCAAGGCTATTATTGCACCTGTTAAAAAGGACATTTAGAGAACTCCGGGGGAAGGTGATTTGTTGAACAATTAACCATTCCATGTCATTAAACAATTAGTGCTGTACCTGTGTCTGTGAATTAACAGTAAGATATACAGGGCCTGATAGGGTTATTTAAATGTGAATTTTAATGCAGAATTTAAGATGACACTCCAGGCTCCCACACACGTTAGATGCACTGTGTAGGTTAGGTTACAGTTAGTTATACTGGATGGGTTTATATTATGAAAGAGACACTCCAGGCTCCCACACACGTTAGATGCACTGTGTAGGTTAGGTTACAGTTAGTTATACTGGGTGGGTTTATATTATTAAAGGGACACTCCAGGCTCCCACACATGTTAGATGCACTGTGTAGGTTAGGTTACAGTTAGTTATACTGGGTGGGTTTATATTATTAGAGGGACACTCCAGGCTCCCACACACGTTAGGTGCACTGTGTAGGTTAGGTTACAGTTAGTTATACTGGGTGGGTTTATATTATTAAAGGGACACTCCAGGCTCCCACACACGTTAGATGCACTGTGTAGGTTAGGTTACAGTTAGTTATACTGGGTGGGTTTATATTATTAAAGGGACACTCCAGGCTCCCACACACGTTAGATGCACTGTGTAGGTTAGGTTACAGTTAGTTATACTGGGTGGGTTTATATTATTAAAGGGACACTCCAGGCTCCCACACACGTTAGATGCACTGTGTAGGTTAGCTTACAGTTAGCTATACTGGGTGGGTTTATATTATTAAAGGGACACTCCAGGCTCCCACACACGTTAGATGCACTGTGTAGGTTGGGTTACAGTTAGTTAAATCGGGTGGGTTTATATTATTAAAGGGACACTCCAGGCTCCCACACACGTTAGGTTACAGTTAGTCATACTGGGTTTATAATATTAAAATAATAGGTTTATATTAAAAGTGTCCACCAGGTGGAGATATATACCTATTATTTATATTACTGCCATCATAGAATTCACTAAACCAAATGTAGAGAACTTACAACATTAACATTTTGATTTTAGTAAATTTATTCCAGAAAACAACACAACATTCTGCTATGTATTAAGGTCTCATAAGAGACCGGGCAAAACTTCTGCAAATGCTTCAATTCCTAAACAAATAGAAACAAGATTACACCGAGGAATTCCATTCTTAATATTCTCCGTGTAACCATCTCATTACCAGCGAGGGGGGAAATCTCACTTGTTTTTCATTAAGAAAATAGTTTTAAAGAAGCACCACCTATCTTCGTGGTGTATTAAGGTACACACAGGGTACACAGACATACAGTCATTTCACAATGTAACGGAGAAGAAATGGTTAATCAGGTTGGATTAGACACAGAGCGGTAATTCACAGTAACTCCAAACAAAAAAAGCCATAATTGAAAGTTGAATAATATATTGCGCAAGGGAAATACCACTATTAATATTATTAATAAAGAGGAGAACTATCCGCATGGAGGGGTGTGGTCCATAAACGAGTTACATGTACCATTATTACATTAAATGGCCTCAGACCTACAAGAACGGGTCTCGCTAGGATCATGCTAAAAACTAAAAAGGACAATAAGGACATTCAGTCCTAGTCGAGGCCTGGTTTATCAACATTTCTAACAAGGAATTTGATAAAATATTGGCCGGCATGTGCGTACTCTCAGCTCCGTCAGTGAAGGTGTTGGAGAGCAACGAGAACTGCAAGACGGTAACTGTCTCCACTGCTCGTAAAGCGTGTGTCTCGTGTGGAATTGTTTTCCTAGTTTTCTTTCTCATCCCCTTCGTATGTAGTTGTATTATGCTTTTTGTATTGCTGACCTGCTGTGCATGTTTTTATTTTTTTGTATTCTTAATTTTTGCTGTGCAGATTAGTACAGTGATGCCTGCAATGCCACAACAGTAGTGGCAAACATACCCTTGTCAACATAAGAACAACATGGCATTTGGAAAATTGGCACATTTTTGGAATATTAGTAATCAGAAAGGCAAATGTGTCTTAGCAATAAGACAAATAATTATTAGAAACCAGACAAATAATTATTGCATAGCGTTTAGACATACGAGTTTCATATTGTGAGAACCACTGGGTCGCAATAAACTATAAGGGTACTTTACTGCTTGTGTATAGAGCGCAGTACACTAGTGAGAGGACACGATATGGTGTGTGAGAATGGTTGGGTATGTAACTTGCTATATTAGCTGTCATGTGGAGTACTAGAGATGCTATAAGGTGCTAAACAGAAAAGAAAAGTGCTAGTATGGCATAAAATAAAATAAAGGCTTATTTGTCATCATGGGTCTGAAATGTCTGCCAAAATAGCTGATATCAATGATAACCAGGAGTCAATCAACCCCACATATGGCCCACAGCAGGTAGGCAGTCTCTGTATCAGTAACTGATCTGCTTCGCACCCTCACACCCTGATGAGAATGAAGCTTGGCTTTATGCAGGAGTACAGAGTCCCATACACAGTTCCATCTCCTCCAGCTCGGGTCTTGATGGGCTCTTTTGCCCCATGTCCAGGGTTTTCACCATTCCCGGTGGGTAAACAATAGGCCTGCGGGGACTCCAGAGCGCGGGGAACCCTGTAGGTAAGTGCTTGGTGAGGTAGACATAAATCCACATGGACCCTTCGTCCAGATGTAGGCTCGTACACCACAGTGACTTGCTGGGTCGGTGGTGTAGCGCTGCAGCTTTGGCAGGCTGTCTGCTGTTGATCCTTTGCCGGAATGCTTGGCAAATCATTTAAAATTTGCCATCGAAGATTTCCCTCCATGATTGGACTGCTGGGCATTTTTGGTCATGGTGCTGCTGCTGTGTGATGGCCATTTTAATCACACTACGCGGTCCTATACTCAGCAAAAAGCAGTGCCTGTGCTGCAGACAGGGGTCTCCTTCAGACAGATCGATTTTGTTTAAGCAATAATTGATCCACCAGCTGTAGTATCGGTTTGCTGCGAGTGTCTAGCTTATTTTATCCAGGAATAAAGCCTCATATTCTGAAGTTTGGCTCTAATTTTGCAGGAGCTAGTAGAAGACACGTCCGTCCATCTTGGACGTCAGGCCGCGCCCCGCGCATTGCATGTTTTTAAAGGACAACTGTCCCCTACAAACTATTTTTTTAATATAATAGACATGCAATACTTAATTTTATTGTAAAATGAAGTCTTTGTAAAAATTTTAATAAAAAAATCATCCCTATATCTAGTATATGACGGGATCCTTCAGCCGCACTTTGGGTCAGATGGTGTTTATGGTCTTCCCCGCTTCACTCCCTGCCCCAAAACAGGAAAGACCATAGAGACTAACTATCTGTCTTCAAACACTGTCCGACCCAAGCTGTATGTATATGGCTGAAGGTCCTGTCATATACTAGAGGTAGGGATTAGTTTTTCCTATTTTGTTTACATATACTTCATTTAAAAAAATATTTGAATAGTTTTGAGGTGACACTTGTCCTTTAATGTTTGCATATAACCGTGGATAAATAATTCAATATTGTCAGTGTGTGTATGTGTGTGTGTGTGCCTGTGTGTGTGTATATCTTTATGTGTGTGTGTGTCAGTGTGTGTACGTGTATCTGTATGTGTCAGTGTGTGTATGTGCTTGTGTATGTATCTGTATGTGTGTGTATCTGTATGTGCCTGTGTGTGTTTCTGTATGTGTGTTTTTCAGTGTGTGTATCTGTATGTGCCTGTGCGTGTATCTGTATGTGTGTTTTTCAGTGTGTGTATCTGTATGTGCCTGTGTGTATCTGTATGTGTGTGTGTCAGTGTGTGTATCTGTATGTGTGTGTATCTGTGTGTATCTGTGCATGTGTGTGTATGCCTGTGTGTGTATCTGTATGTGTTTTTCAGTGTGTGTATTTGTGTGTGTTTGTGCCTGTGTGTGTATATGTATTGTGGCGGAACCAGCCTCGCCACTGGGCATTGGAGAAGACTGATTGCCGGCCTCCTGCCCTGTGACTATGGCCCCATGTTGAAAGGATGGATTTTCCCCTGCAAAGACCCAAAAGCTGGGTCTTTCGGTACTTTTCTTATGTGAGCAGTGATACCCCAGATAGCTATGCCATGGAGCGCATTCGTATAATGAAAGACTATGGGAAAGACTTTGGCTCCATGGCAATTGAACTGTATGTGTGTGCTCTGAGTGCCATTCAGTAATAATGTGCCCTCAGATCGGAGCTATCTGGGGATATGTTGAATGTACCTGTTTTGTGCAATGGCTGCACAGTTATATGTTTTTATGTATTTTATTGTCTTTTGCTGCCATGTGTTCAATGGAGTTTTGCCTCTGTCCTTGGAGATAAGTGGATTACTTCCCAATTATCTCCAGGAAAGAAGACTCTGTGGAACTGGTTTTGGGCAGAAAAGCCATGCTGCATTTAGTCAAATAGGACTTTTCCTTAACTTTTGAACCACTGTACCAATATGTATGATTTTGACATATGTTTGTATTTGGAGTATGCTGATTCTGAAAATGAAGTTATGAATAATGTGAAAAACTGTATTTCTCTGGCTGTGATAATTAGATTAACCATTGTGTTCAGTAATCATATCACAGCCAGAGGGGAGGATTTTGTGTGGGAGTGTCTTTCTGTAATGTACGTGTGTTATTGGCTGTTATGTAAAACCCTGTGGGCAGTACTAAGTTTGTGGATTGGGAATAAAAGAGGCTGTATGTGCCAGTACAGAGAGTTCCTGCTTAACCCTCAAAGTGAAGTGTCGTCTCATTATTGGGGGAGGATTCATGGTATGCTGTTCCAGTTTGACTGCTAGGAGTGTAAACCTATTCGCATGTTTTTTTCTATTCGGCTGTATACAACATTCATATACTTGAGAGAAGGTATACGCTTCTCCGGTTTGGTGATTGTGGTGTCTGGCTGCAGTGCTTGGAGTCCTCAGGAGATGCTAGGAGCATCCTTTAACGGAGGTACCCAGTCGGGGTGCCAGGTGATCCGTTACATGTATGTGTGTGTGTGTCAGTGTGTGTATCTGAGTGTGTGTTTGCACAAAACCGTTGCTGTTGCTGCTAAAAAGGACGTTCCTTAAAAAATTCTGCCCTATGTATTTTGGTGACACCACGATCCCCCCAGCTTTGCCCCCTTTGGAGATCAGAGAGCTGAAGATGAGAGACTGCATCTTGTAAATAATAGAGAGATTCACTGCGGTGTTTATGCTGGGCCAGAGTGCAAAAATTTAATTTACTAGTCTGACAAGCAAACCGTGGGAGCTGAGAATGACTTATGTGCTGTGAGGAACTGATCTTTCTAATAACGATGCTTCGGGAGAGAGGGAATGTGAGAGGGTAAGAGAGATTGATGTAGAGAGAGAGAGGGGACTCTCAAGGTAGGGAACGAAAAGAGAGAACAGGGGATATTCTTTATAGCTTGTCAGTCACAGACAGATGGGGCGTGGAATGGAGAGAGAGAGAGAGGAAAAAAAAGTTAATTTTGACAAAGTAGGAGTACAAAAAAAGAGGAAAGGAAACAGAAGGTGTAGAGGATTAAACTGTGCCGCAGAGAAGGGGCAGATTTGAATCTTGAAAAAGTGACTGGCTGAATTATTCTATATGTGAGAGAAGAGCTAGATTAACCATTAGGTCAGTCTAACAAACTGATATGGAATATCGGGGATCACGGGTGTTGACACCTATAGATTATGGGGGTCCTGACATTAGCTCCAAGAAAGCAATGTAAACGTATAAACATTGAGGGTATACATGCGCAAGCCATGTCTTAATTCTCTCCTTATTAATCTGACTGTGAAAAATGAAGAGAAGAGGCATCCAGAACATCAGAATGGCTGTTTGTGGGATCAATAAATGATTATCCATAGAGGCAGGTGGTTATCTAGAGAATGTATCAGGAGGAATGATTAGATCTGGAGAACCAGGGATAGAGATGGAATCCAGAGACAGAGAAACATTGTAATTGTGAAGGGGTGAATAGGGAATTGAAGGGATTACGAGAACTGGATTAAGTCATAGCATATTAGTGCATGACGAAGGATTAGTATAGTAAATCATGTACGGGAAGAAATAAGCATGTTGTATAGGAGTATGTATTTCATAAATGATACTCACTATAAAAATAAAAATTTAAATCTCAACAACAATTTAGCAGGAAAAGGTTGCTTAGTAGGATAATATTGGTCTGTACGGCTCTGTACAGGGTTTGAGGACGGCCTATATGTGTTAACGAGATTTTCAGGAAAGTGTAAGAGGACCCATGCTAAATCAAGGAAAATCAGGTTTCTAGTATTATCTTAAAAATCTAGGCTTCAGGTTGATGGGAGCAGTTGCAGTTAATCCCAAGGCCGAATTAGACCTGGGAGAACTGTGCCCCCTAATTAACTCCTGGCATTTGGTAAGTCCAGGAGGTATCCACTGTATATATTTTTTTTGGAGGGGGGGGGGAGGTAGGGAGGGTGGGAGGAGGGTTAAGGAGGGAAGGGAGGGTCGCAGGGTTTTTTGTTTTTTTTTTCCTCCTGGCTCGGTATACAATATGCTTATAGGTCTGTTAAATTTATTGGGCCAAAACATCTGCTTGTATATTGGTTGAATTATGATGGATGAGAAGATAATTTCCTTAAATGTAAAAGGCCCTAATTCACCTGCAAAAAGGAAGATAATGTTTAAGGAATTAAAAAGAATGCAGGCGGATATAGCTTTCTTGCAAGAAACTCACCTTAACATACTCACTTATTATCATTGACAGATAAATGGTATGATAGAGCGTATTGTTCGAATGCTATTCGAAAGCATAATGGATTAGCTATTTTATTACATAAAATAAAGTCTTAAATTCCATTCAGGATAAAGAAGGAAGATATATCCTAGTGTCTGGAATGATGGGCACCCGCAAGCTTCATCTAATGAATATATATGGCCCAAACGTCCCAGATAATAGATTTTGGGATACGATAAGACAAATTATTAATTCTATAGCGTCAGATTGTCTCTTGATAGGTGGGGATTGCAATCGATAGGAGCCATAAGCCGGGAACACTGCGATCTCAGGGAAGGAGAGGACAGGACAAACAGTTCTTTCAGTTTGTGACAGCTCATAAACTTATTGATATATGGAGGGCTCAACATCCTGACACACTCGATTATACCTTTTATTCGCATCCAAATGATACGTATTCTAGAATAGATATGTTTTTGACCAATTTAACACTTTCTCCCTATTTATATAGCTCACAAATTAATAATATCACGTGGTCAGATCACGCAGATATCGCTGTATATATAAAAGGATTATCAGCTAAACCCAATTTTTCATGGCGACTTAATACTTCTCTTTTGGAGCATCCCCTAGTTAGAGCAGATATTACAAAGGTACTGTTAAATTATTTTTCTGAAAACAATACACCTGAAATCAGTAAAACCACTCTATAGATTAAAAATTAAAATTATTTTATTAGATGAAGCAGTATGGCAGTTAAAAACAACAGGTAGATATTTTTATGAGAAAGCTAATAAAATAGACGCCCCTCTGGCCAGATGCTTAAAACCACGAACAAAGTTTAAACCTATCTCAGCTATCAGAAATGCTTCAGGAATATTAGTATCGTCACCAGACGAGGTTTATGGAGTGTTTCGGGAATATTTTTCTAGATTGTATAGTCAATTTATAAATGAGAATGGAGAGGGTACGGACCAGGAGGTAAGACTGAGAGAATTCTTGAGTAGGACGAACTTACCCCAAATCCCCAAAAGCACCCTAGAAGGATTAAGGAGAAAAATATCTATAGAGGAGATTAAAACTGCATGTTCTTCTATTAAGGGGGGTAAAGCACCAGGGCCGGACGGCTTTAGTAGCAGTTACTATAAAATATTTCAACAAACTCTCATGCCATATTTACGAGAGGTCATAGATGAAATTGGCCAAAGCGGAGTTCTTCCAGCTGATCTTACAATGGCTAAAATTGTTCTTTTACCAAAAATAGATAAGGACCCTGCATCAGTGGGAAATTACAGACCTATATCGCTGATAAATGTCAATATAAAGATAATAGCCAAAGGCTCTCTCCCTTACTCCCTATCCTGATTCACCCAGATCAGGTAGGTTTTGTTCCAGGCAGACAGCTGTATGAGAATACGCATAGAGCAGTCAACGTCGCTCGTGTCATGGCAACAGGGAAGACACCATCGATTCTCTTGTCACTAGATGCAGAAAAAGCATTTGATAGGGTCGCTTGGCCTTATCTTTTTTATTTGCTTCAATATTGGGGCTTTCCGGCTACCTTCATTGCTATAATTCAAGCGCTATATTCGAATCCCCAAGTAACAATACAGCTCCCTGGCGCAGATAAGACTCCGCTTGGAATATATAATGGCACATGTCAGGGATGCCCCCTCTCCCCTATTCTGTTTGCCCTTATCTTAGAACCTCTTCTGATTCACATTAGAGAAAGTGGCAATATACAGGGTATCCAAATAGGTAGTGAGATTTATAAAACAGCGGCTTATGCCGATGATATTTTAATCTCTATAGCAAACCCTTCTGAATCTACCCCTGAATTGTTCTAGTTGATAGAACAATTTGGAGCTATTTCAGGTTATAAGGTAAATTATAATAAATCACGTGGAGTGACTTTTCATTTATCCGAGGCAGAACAAGACCAACTAAAAGCTAAATTTGATATGTGTATAGATAAATTGCTAAGCTATTTGGCTATTAGAATTGGACGCTATTATAATACATTATTTAATGACAACTACGTACCTTTGATTAAAACTTTGAAAAAGGACTTAGAGAATTGGCACGAAAAGCCAATTTCATGGATTGGCAGAATTCATTCTATAAAAATGAATATTTTACCGAGGCTTCTATTTTTATTTCAAGCGTTGCCTATACGGGTTTGCAAAGGGGACTTACTGGGTATCCAGAAAGCTATAGATACATTTATTTGGCAGGGCAAGTGACGCAGGGTAGCCAGAACTCTCCTGTATAGACCGAGAGACAAAGGGGGACTAGGTCTCCCCAATTTAATTATTTATTATTATGCAGCCCAACTGGCACAAATTATTGGTTGGCATGCAATCCAAGGGAAATACAGATGGGCAGATATGGAGGAAGACTTAATGACACCAGACTCACCAGGTTTGTATATGTGGCTTAATAGGGTTTCAAGACCAGTGCTAAATAAATATGCCCTTCTACTGCAAACTCCCTTTACATTTGGGATAAACTCAAGTTAAAGCATGGTCTAACTAACTTCCCTTCGCCTATGACTCCTGTTTTTCGGAATAAACAATTTATCCCTGGCCTGGAAGAATACAATTTTCAAAGCCTAAAAGCAGGAGGAATACATAGATATGTAGATCTTGGGTCAGAAGGAGAGGTAGTTCTATTTTCTAGATTATCGACCAGAATAGAGCTGAGGACAGGAGATTTTGTTCGTTATTTGCAGATTAGAGACTTCGCGTACTCATTGGAGGTAAAAACGGCAGTCAAACTCCCCTTCACCAATTTTGAAAAAGTCTGCAAAATAGGAAGGATAAAGGGAGGTCTTATTTCTGATTTCTATAATCAGCTAAGTGAGGAACCTACGGTTTGGGCTCCATTAAAGTATATATCCCATTGGGAGGCAGATTTAGGTTCCTCTTTGGAAGTTAAGGATTGGATAGATTTAAAATGCAATCTTATAGTCGACACTCCTTGTAAATGCATGTTAAAGATTGTATAATGTATAATTAGTTTTTTTCTTAATGTTAAATAAAGAATTGAAAAAAAAAAAAAGGAATATTACCGTAGAGACGCTGAGTGATCTGACAGTGTATACCTATATATATATATATATATATATTTACAGGATATACATTTGTAGGGTGGATATCTGTGTTTTATTTGTAGAATAATAAACACTGAGGAGTTTACGCAACAAATGTATCTACCGACATTCCTCTTCTGGGATTCTGATAAAGAATGAAAAGTAACGATGACATAGAAGGTGACTTTAATAAAAGCTTTGGAGAGAGCGAATGGAGGGTTTATACTTCTCTCTGTGTATGGACATACCTCGCGCTGACCGTGATTCATACAACCTGCATTTTACTAAAAGCTTCTCTCGGCCATTGCTGAGGTTAGTCATTGTGTTCTGGGATTCAGATTGCAATTTCTTTCATCTTCTTCTTAATGTCACCGCACATAATACCAAGAACACAAATTGTGACCTGTCACGAAATGGCTCAAATTCCCCTTCTTTCCTTCTCGTGTTTTGACAGAGGATTGAAAAGACCAAAAGCTGCTTGACGGGCTGTAATGAATTGGAAAAAAGTGAATAAGCCGTTGGAACTTGAGTTTAACCCCGTCAGTGACAGAAACTTAGGGTTAATGGGTTAACCCATTAAAAATATGTTGCTGTGATTAGGTCACTTTGTTCCTACATGGGACTGTCCCTTTAACCC